AGGCAATTTAAATGAATGAATAATGAGAGCTCAATCGTATGACATAGCAAATATTATTATATTGAATCTTGTAAATTGTCAATTTATATTCTGAAGTGGATAATGTTTTGAATGTCGTCAAATGCTTCAAGTGATAAAGTTTAAATTTGCGTGATGTTAATTTTTGTATCAATCTCTATAATTGATCTCACAAAGTATAGTGTTCATCTCCGAAGTGATTTAAGAATTTTTAATAACGCTAAAAAATTAAATAATAATGAAAATAAAATAAAATTAAACTAATGGTACGGGTTAATATTGGATGATAAAATATTTATAAATTTTGAAAATTTCTTTTTGGATAATATTTATAATTTTTTTTTAACTGCAGCCCTGGTTCAATCGAATTGAATCGTCAACAATTACATACAAAATAGCAGGATGTGTAACAGAGTATATTATAAGATTTCTTCCTCATTCTGCTATGTTTATGAATTGAATATTTTCAGAATCTAACATTGTAGTATCAGTACTTATTATTGATATATTTGCAAAATACAAAGTCGAATACGATTAATCAATAGGCAATTAATTCAACATTTAGATAGAGCTTCCGTTTGTTATTGATCATCTAAAAAGTCTTGATTATCTAAAAAGCGATTTATATGACTTTCCAATAGCAGATAGCCAATCACAAAATTGTCTGTTGTAGAAGAATAAATAACAAATCACGGTATTTACAAAAATATAATAAAAATTATTTTGCTTTTTTATCGGCAATAAAATAATAAAGGATTAAAAGCTGATGCAAAACATGAGCTGAATTTGTTATTGATCATGTATGCGGAAATAATTAAGAACCATATAAGTTCATTATGATACAGAATTACGTCAATGATTTTAGATTTTAATTAAGAACTAAAATATACGTTGATTATACATTCTACGTATTATTAATTTTATTTTATATTTATTAGATCCGAAATTTCCAGATTTCACTGTTTAGTATAAGTATTTTTTGCAGGAGGCCTCTAGCTCAATTTGTCGTATTCATTTTCATAAATTGATGTTTACCTAGAAATTCAACTTTAACAAAGATGATAAATGTGAAAAATTATTATTATTCTTTATGGTAAGCCATCAATTAAAGTCTATTGCTTCCTAACATATTTTATTTTATTAATTCGTACTTTTATGTTCATCATACATTCAAAATATCAAGTTCGAATACATATGCCAGACTGAAACTTTTATTCAATTAAATATAAAAGTACAAAAATTCAAGGAAACATATAATATAAAAATTGTCTTGTAGATTCATGAGTGGCTAAAAGTACCACTGTTACAACTATAGTTTTCACTAATGTCGGTTTCAATCCATTATAAAATGTCCAAAGACCTGCAACATACATTTGTAATCGTTGAAAAACTAAAAAAAACTAAAGCTATTTTAATATGAGATTAAAATCCATACCTTCTCTTTTTGCCATATCAAAAATAACATCATTGACAGTCTTTTTGCTAGTCATAACTTGAACTCGAGATTTAATTACATCTATAGGATAAATTACCAACCATAAGAGGCACCCGGCAACAGAGACAGCTACCATATTTTTCAGAATATTCAATTCTTCTGGATTTTCGTCTGGGCTGGCTAATAATTTTTTAAAACCATCTAATCCAGCAAAGAAGATTAGACTTCCGGGTACTTCTCTAGCCATGGTAATGTTCCAACCGCAGTAAAGACCTCTATATGAATGCTGTTTTACTATTAATTCATTAACTTCCATGGTTTTATATCCTGTATGAAAATAAAATCAATCAATAGACAAAAATTATAAAGAAAAATGAAAAGAAAAAGAATTATAAAAAGATGGCTTGAAAACGAATCAAAACTTCGCCATAAGGATAGTCCAAAAATATTTGGATCATAGACATTTTTGAAACATTCAATATCATAATTTCTGCAAACAATAATAAAAACTTTAAGCTTGTTTATGGGGCGTCCATTAATCACATGAGGTTTTTAGGGGGAGGGGGGTCTGACAAAAAATCACAAAATATTACGTGGGGGAGGGAGGATTATAGTAAGATAGCACGTGTATTTATTTTTTAACTGATTTTTTTTTAAAAAAATTAAACATTTTCGAAAAGAATTAAACAATTTTACAGTTTTATTTTAATAATACACGTGGTGTTTGGTGGCAGAGGGGGGGGTAATTTTGAATATTACCATGTATCACCAAGGGGGAGGGGGGGTCCAAAAATCCTTAAAAACTTGCTGACGTGATTAATGGACGCCCTCTTACCTGTATTTGAAGACCAGCTCTAGAATGCATATCTCTTATATCTCGCCATGCCTGCAATTGACATTTAAGCAAATCCATTGGGCATAAATAAAGACACGAAACGCCAGCAGTTAAACATCCAGCTGCAGCTCTTTGGGATAAACTTAGTTCTTCTGTCAATTTTTTTCCAGATAGAGTCAACAATATGACTCTGAACGTTTCATAACCAATCATGGATATTGTGTTATCCAGAAGCCCTGCTACCATAGCTGGAGTGGTGCCAGCAAATAGGCCTGTCTTGGTGTCTCTCTTGATGGTTTTGCGAAAGCAGTCGGCCATTCCTTTGTACATTGTTGGAAAAGTTTGCATTCGCACTTTGATTGTATCCAGAGGCTCGCTGGCAAAAACGACTAAAATTCCGCCTGGAATAAGAAACTATTGTATTTTTGTACATGTTTTGTTCATTTCATGTCGTTTGTATAAAAAATATATAAAATTACTTACTTACGTAATTTCCACAGTAATCAATAATTTTATCCTTTTGAGTTTCAACCTTACTTTCGTCATATTTTTGGACATCACGCTTATTATGAGGGCTAAGTACATTATCACCTTTCATTTTTTGATTGAAACCTTTTATACGAGATCTAACCGGTGTTAAGAGAAAATGTAGAACAAATTATCAAGACTATAAATTCTTTTAGATCTTTCAGGTAGTGCATATTTCTTGATTACACAAGCTTCAAAATGTTAATTTTAACTCTTGGTAATTTTGCAAGAATCACTGTCATTTCGACGCCAACTGTCAAAATTAGCAAAATATAAAAAAATTGAATGATGTTATAACTGTCAACAAAAAACAATTTATTTTATATTTAATCGGTATTTGAAACAGTGTCGAGAACCATGTAAGAAAATTTAGTAAAGTGATATACAAATGGTTAAAAAAGGCCCAAACAAATATTAAACAAAAGCACAAAATAAATAACAATTATAATTTAGTGCCGTTTTTAATGTGGATATCAAATTTCAATGTATTTACGACTTTTTTTACTCTAAAATTTGTAAATAAGACGGTTTTAACTAATAATCTTGAGGACGCAAAATCATAATTATATCTATTGGAAGAGAAGTGTTCTGAAGAGTAAATTTTACTCAAAACTTACTAAAATTTCAATATTTTCTGTGAATATGAATACCAAAAATTGCGTTAACAAAAAAATAATATTAAATTATGGAAACTAAATATACAGTAATTAAACATTTATTGTGGCAACATATATAAATACAACACTCTGAAAATATATGTACATCATTGCTCTCAAAAGTTTTTGACACTCGTGTCTTGACATTTTTGTATATTTCTTATTATTAACTTCCCGTAGGGTAAGTTATAGTAATCGCAAAAAAATCGAAAATGAAAATTTTTATATATCTTTACGTTTCAGAGGTTTCTGAATATTTTGGCATACCTTAGAAAAAATGGATGTATGTGTGTGTGTGTGTGTGTGTGTGTGTGTGTATGTATGTATGTATGTATGTATGTATGTATGTATGTATGTATGTATGTACGTGTGTGTATGTATGTGCGGATACAAATTTTCGTCGACGATTTCGGGAACACGGATCAACCGATTTGAATAATTCAAAAAACATTCGATTCGTATTGATAAGGAGACGTGCTGATTAGTTTTTGGCGAAGTCAGGTCTAGCCGTTCCAAAGATACGGGGCAAAAAGTGCCGAAAACGGTAACTCAGTTTTTAAGAGAACGGAGCGTCCGATTTTAAAAATTCAAAAAACATTTTACTTGTATTGATAAGGTGAAGAACCGATCAAATTTTCATAAAGGCAGGTCCAGCGGTCTCGGAGATCTAATGAAAAAAGTAAAAAAAAATGCCATTTGGCGGTCAAAAATGATCATTAGACATATGCACATCAAATTATGAGATATTTTATAGAGATTTTAACAATAAGTATAATTTTGGCTTACATTCCTATGGGTTCCGTACCAATGTTTACGCGTTAGACGTCGACGCGGCGCTTACTCGGTTTGATATTTCGTCTTTATGCAGTTAAAGCAGTACGATTGCTTTGAAAAAAAGTTTAGATCTTTCAAAATATGTCAAAATAAAGAAAACATTTTTTTTCAAAAAAAAAAAAATTAAAAAAAAAAAATTAAAAAAAAAAAATTAAAAAAAAAAAATTAAAAAAAAAAAATTAAAAAAAATTTTTTCTTTTTCAAAAAAAAGTAATTTTTTGTCTAATTGTTTGTCAAAAATCTTATTTTTTCGAAGTAAATTTTTTTCAAAAAATAATAATTTTTGGTACGGGAAGTTCCAGCAATTTGCCTTGAGGCACGATGCCTTAATTGCCTTAAGACAGAATTCCACTTACAGCTAGTTTTATCATATAAGAAATGAAGTCTTAGTAATTTTTTGCTTATAATACATAACAATTAATTTACTTATATAGAATAATATAACTAATAAAGATATACGTGTATTCCAGAAGCGGTATAAATTATATTGTTTGGAAATTTTGGTAATATCAAATATTTATAACAAAACTTAATATTGGTTTTAATGGAATATGTCTTTCTATTGAACCATGTCTGGTTGATGTCAATATTTTTATCTTAAAATAAAATGGCAAAAATAACATCATATTATCTGAATATCAGTGAATTTATACACTTCTATATTTCATACATATTTCACACATATAACTCAATTGTGCTCTAACGTCAATTTTTATGTACATTTCATGTTACAACATTATGGTGCTTCATAACAAGATTTTATACTTTAAGATATTAATATAGGTTTCAGATTAAAACTAACAGCATTTTAACGATTAATGAGTTCAAATTGTAAGAAACATTCAGTCAACCAAAATTTATCTGTTTTTTATCAACCAAAATTTTGTTACATTGCATATAAAATGCTATTACATGTAAGAATCTACTGTCCAAAAATATCAGATTTTATTTAACTGCAACGATTCATTCAAGTAAATAGTTGTGATGAACACAAATGCTTAAGAGCAATATTTGTAGTATAACCAGATTAGGAATGTTATCATTAATTAAAAATCATATTTAAGTATAACATAGCAATTAATATTATCCAAATAGAAATGTTTGTTTATTTTTAGTAAATTTTGGCAATTTTTTTGAACTAAGATAAAATTAGAAACAATAATAATTATTAAATTTGATTATCATATTTGTTTTGTCTAATGAAGTCAATACTCATAAAACATTATATTATTAGTCTATTTTCTTATTTGTTTAAAGACACTTATTTACATACAGCGTATTATAAAACTGTTATTGTTAAAATGCACCTTTTGCGATTGGTCAATTTTTCTCTACGAATTGTTGGCACATCTCAATTAATACAATTTGTATCATTTTCTAATATTTTAAAAAAATTCTAAAACATACTAAAACTAATAGCAAAATTTAATGCTTTATTTTTTATATTTACTCATATCAGTTATATTCTGTTTCAGAAATTTTCAAAAATTTGTTTTTATTATCAATGTGCTTTTTTATAATGATGTTTTGTTTGGCACATAATTACATATAATTAAACAGATCATTTAATTTCACATATTCGAATTTAACATCTAAACAATCATCAGGAAATCAATTATTTATTACTCAAGTCATGAATATATTAACAATATACTACACAAACACACACACACATATATATATATATATAAATAATATATATATATTTATATATATATATATATATATATATATAAATATATATACTCGTATATATATATATATATATATATATATTTATATATATGTATATATTTATATAAACGTGTATGTGTTGTATAAAATTGTGGCCTCAATATTTAATTGTTAAACAAAACTATATTTTGAAAATTGAAAACCATTCGATTATTTGTGATTGCCAAGTGTTTTATAGGGTTTTCAAGTCAAAATACTGCATTGAAATATCATAATTTACATAATGAAATAAAATCATATATATATATATATATATATATATATATATATGTATACTTGAGAGTATCCTTTTTTCTAAAAAAAAATCAAATGTACTATTTATTAAATGATATAAAACAACAAAAGTACCACTGGTACGTCCTTTGTGTGTAATTCCACACAATTACACCGGTTTGTAAGAAAAAATTTTCGTCTTTCAAATATTTGCTTAATGTAAAAAATTTCAAGCCCTAAAGTATAAAAATATATATAAATAAATATCATTTTCATTTTTGAAATCTAAATCTTTCAAACTTAAACTTCTAAAATAATAAAAATCCTGACTTCTCAAACTTATACCGATTCCATATTTTCTAATGTCCTCATAAAACTTTGATAACCGGCTGTTGCTGTTGGGGTCGTTTGGGTTGCATCATTTTTAAAGGGTCTTTATGGTATCTTGCAAATACCTCTCTTTTGAATACTTCGAAATGTCTTCGATTTAAATAATTTTGTCTTTCCCTCCAAGCGGGACGTGTCCGTCGATTTGTCATACCCCAATGGCAGGTGAAAATTGGAGATAGAACTACGAACTGGTAGCCAGCTACATATGTTTCGTATACCTGGAAAATAATAGTTATTATAATAAACTAATGAAATATGAAATAAATACATGGATATTTACATATAACATGCGAGAATGATTCAATATTTTTTAAATTTTGAAAAAAAAGAAAAGCTCAATTTTATGAGAGATTGGATATTGTATCATATCGTACAAAATATAAATGTGAGTTAACAAAGAATGATAAGAAGGAAGTCTTGCTAAACTGTACAAAATATTATCATTCTTTATTCGGGAAGGCAAGTTTACTGAAAAAAATTGAATCAAATTGCAAATTAATTATTACATTTTACCTGTGTGTTTCTTGTGTATCCGTAACCTACAAATCTTTCATCATGCAGAGGTACTGTATCTGGCGCAATATAAAAAGGCTCATATAAAAATTCAAAATTTGTAACTACATGACTAACATGAGTTTTGTTACTTTCAACCTTTGCTGCTTGCCACCTAAATTAATATGGAAATGTATGATTAAGGTTTTATAATATAATTAACCAGATAGGGATCAAAAGCTTACTTAGTAAAATTCGTAGCAAACTGATTGTATATAAATATTTTGTGATGAAAAGGCCTCGCTAATCCTTTCGCTGCTAATCTTAACAAGTCAGCCTTATTTTTAGGAAATTCTACTCTAATATCCAATTCGTACGTGGGAACCACATACGCACATTGTCCTGTACAATTAGGTCGTTTTAAAAATTCATTTAAGCTTTCTGCAAATCCATTGCTGGGAACTATATCAACATCAGTCATGAACACATATCCATTTTGGCATCCTTTCCTAGCTATGTTCCTCATGTGATTTTGGGGATACGGATTTTTTATACGCCATTTTTCAGTTTCTGGATTTAGAGTCTTCATAATACGCTTGAGATATTCATCAGGTTTTATTGAACAGTCTTCGAATAGCTCGACAGGATCTACGGCTGAAGAAAAATAAATAAATTATAATGATTTATTTTATGTGAAAAATAAATTACCTTGTAATGGTGGGCGACCATCTGCGGGCGTTCTATCTCCAGG